TAATTTCATTCTTGCTTAGTTTCAAATCCTCTTTTACCTTGTAGTATCTATCTTTTAGTTTTTCAAAATGATTCTGCATTTCTTCATATGCTTCAACTATAGTACTACAAAGATTTGAGCCACAATCACTATCATAAGTTGGAAAGGATGAACATACCTCATCTTCATGTGATCTTGACGAAGAGGATCCATCATCACGGTTGGCAAACGCCATATAGCCTTGTATTTCACTTTCGTTATCTTCACTTTCATCTTCTGATCCACTCCAAGCCACTGCATAAGCCTTTTCTCTACTCCATCCTTTGTTAGGACATTCAGCCCTTACATGACCACTCTTTCCACATTTGTAGCATTTTCGTAAACCTTTATCTTCACACTCACTTTTCACTTTATTTTTCTTCTTTTGATTATCAAAAGATTTTACCTTTCCATTTCTATTATTCTCACGAAAATAGAAAGAACTACCCCTTCCTTGTTTTCTTTCTAATTTTAAAAACATTTTGAATTTTTTTGAAATAAGAGCAAATCCTTGATCGAAATCATCTCCTGATCCTTCATCATTGGTGACTTTCTTCTCGCAAGCCTTGAATGCTAAACTTTTATTTTTCTTGTCATTATTCTCATCACCTTGAGCTTTTAAGGCAATTTCATGACTAATTAAAGATCCTATTAAATTTTCAATACTAAGAGTAGATAGATTTTTAGCCTCTTCAGTTTTCTTAGGCATCCATTCTTTGGGTAGACACCAAAGAATTTTCCTAACCAATTCAGCATTATCATAAATTTTTCCTAACGCACTAAGTCTACTTACTATTAAGTTAAACCGAACATACATATCATAAATAGACTCACCAGGGTGCATTTTGAACATTTGATATTCATGCACCAATTGATATATCCTGGATTCTTTTACCTCAGTTGTCACTTCATGTAATACTTCCAAGGTTTTCCAGATCTGATGCACCGTCTTGCACCTGTTCACCTTATTGAATTCATTTGGACATATTGCACAATATAAGACATTTGTTGCTTTAGCATCTAACTCCATCTTCTTTAGATCATCGTTAGACCATGTGTTGGGATCATCTTTGATATCACCCACACCATTCTCAACCACATTCCAAACATCAAAACCCATCCCTTTAAAGAAAACAATCATACGTGTTTTCCAAAAGGAATAGCTGTATCCATCAAACCATGGTGGTCTAACATATGAAAGACCCTCCATATGAGTAGAATTAGAAACATGATTTGTAGATGACCCACTAGCCATGCTTGGTATATCGGATCTCAATTTCCTCACAGATCTTTCGATCTTCTTGAGGGAGCCGGGCTCTGATACCACTTGTTGGACCAAGCAAGGTCAATAATGAATACTTTTGACGTGGTCAGTGCACAAATTAATTCTGATTTCAATAGTGAGAGATTAGCACTAGCTTGATTGAGCAATCCTAAAGGACTTGCAAAGAATCTCTCTTGAAGTGATTAATTTGTTGGCACTGATGAAGAGAACAAAGTTAGAGAAGGTATAGAGAGAGAGATGAGTCGGGACACGTGATTTTAACGTGGTTCGGCCAATATGGCTTTACATCCACGTCCCGGAGATAGTCACCACTATCTCACGAGAGACTCTAAATTTTATTAAAATAAAAGACTCTCTAACCTATGAAATTGAAACAACCTTGACACTTCGTGTCAAGAACCAAATAGGTGCAACTCCACGCCTATTCAACCCTAAGCTAAATCCAAGCTAAGCTACCCACTCAATCAATCAAGCCAACACTCTTAGTTTGACTTGATTGGAGAGTAATCCACCTAGTGCAACTTTCAAGCAAGAATCCCCTCTTGATCTTGCACTTGCAGTAGTCCCAATTACAAATACCCTTCCTACCCTTAAACCCAACCTAGCTTGAATATCTTAACCCCCGAGATATCAAGCTATTCACACCACGAAATATAATCACACAATTTCGCTATTACAAGGGAGACGAGAGCTTTTCAAAAGGTGCTCTAAACTACAAATGACTCTCCTATTTATAGTGAAAGCAAAACTCCATTTCCTTTCATTTGTAGTCCTTTATATGGCAAGTATCTCATTGATTTGATATGCTCTTCACTTGATATGGTAGCTTCTTGAAGGCCAAGCAATTGCTTTGAATTCTTTCCTTTTCTTAGCAAATCTTTTCAAACCTTGATTGTGATATTTCTGCAAGAAATGTTAGTCTAAAATAAAAGCACATATTCAAGACAACATAAAATTGCTAAGTCAAGCTTTTTGACTCAACAGTGTTTTCGAAATATTTGTAGTATACTTTGTGAGAATTCTGGTACGGTTTAGGGGACTTGTGGTATGCATTGGGAGACTTCTGGTATGTTTTTTGTGGGTTGCTTTACCTTGTTTGTGGTTTGCATTAGGAGGTTTCTGGTAGTGGTGGGCAACGATTCGATTCACATCGGACCGAATCGACTCTTACACCGAATCAGATCGGATTGTTTATGTTCTCTTTTCTTGTTTAATGTTTCAGATATGGAGAAGATGCGAAGAAATGACACCACAAATGCTTCTGTCAAGTCTGACAACACCACTGCAAATTAGCAAGTTTAAGAATCATTTGTTTTATTGCACAAATTCTTGGAGTAAGTGTCATTTTGTGAAACTCCTTACTAATGAACAGTGGAAATTATGAAGATTGGGAGGTCCAACGTGCACTCTGGAAATAAAAATGGAAGATTAGAGAGGCAATTAGTTAGACTACTTTGAGATTGAATAAAACAACGACAACCACCTCATCAAAATACTTAAGATTTGTGATTCTTGAAAGAACACGTAAGGCGTAGAATTTACCCCCTTTACACTCACCTTGTAAATATGACTCCTCGATTCCTTACTCGAAGAAATCCCTCCTAGCCGAATTATCTCGGTGAACCTATTAATAAAATGTCATCTCCTTAGTCGACCTTTCGCGATCTAGAATTCCCCTTTGGGTCACTAAAACATCCTCTCCTCAAAATCCAACTCTCGAGACTCGCTCCCAAGGTCCCTTAACCCCCTTTAAAATTTTTCTAGAAACAATCCCTCAAAACCGACCACTTTTCCTAATTATTTTAGTCTTGGACGAATTTTCCACTTAACTTGAACCTTCTTAAAAATTTGGATAATAACTTTCCTACATCAATCATGAGTACTTATACCCTGGAAAATTATCAAACCCTTATAACCTCCTGGAAAATATTTTTATTTAATTAAAACGAATGTTCGAACAATTTCTAAAATTAAAAATACATCTTCAAAAATCCCCAAATTAATTTGCAGCTATCTACTGGATCTCCCCCAATTTATAAAATTTTAAAACTCAGGAACAAACCCCCATAAAGACTCGAAAAAATTTAAACCATCTAAAACAATTTCTGAAAATTCCCAACAGCTTTAGTGATCACCCAAATTCTTTCGCTAAAAGCCTGAACGTCTGTTGCTAAAACCTCAGAATTGCACCCTCACGAAAAATCACCAAAACGATCATCTAACTGAAAGGGATCGAGTTCCCTTACCTCTAGAACGTGCCTAGGCCTAGGTTGGATGACCCGGGACGTTGTTCTCCTCGTTGATCGAACCCTCAAACATCACCGCTAATAAAAATCCGAGCTTCGAATTAGTCTAACGATGAATCGAGTTTAGAAACCACGAAGGGGTTCGTGATCCTTACCTAGAAACGCGAAAGGGATGGGATCGGGATCGGGGTCGGCTGCCGACTCCTTCTTTCTTCCTCGGATTGGCGGCGGCTGCGCAAAGAAATTGGGACGGGGTTTATTTTCTTTGCTGTATGGGGAAATCACGATGGGAGGGGAATCTTGGTCGGCTGCTGCTGGACAAAATTGGGGGCGGGGTTTGGAAAAAGGAGGGCGGCGGGTTTGGGATGGAAATTAAAATGAGGCGGCGGGTTTATTCTCTCTGCTTGGGGGAATTGGAAATAATGGAGGGGTCGGGCTGGCTGCTGGGGAATTAATGGGGAGGCCGCTCGGCCCCCCAGGCCAATCTATAAATGTATATATATTGTAATAATAATTATAAATATATATATATATATTTATAGACTTAGATTTTGATCTTTAAGGGTTAGAGTATAGTATCATGTCCGAAAGATTAGTCAATTCAAGTTTAGGATAGCGTTTTTTTACTCAAGGTATGCGGTACCCCGGATTTTACCCTGGGTACCGTAGAACTCCCCATATATATATATATATATATATATATATATATATATATATTGTAATAGTAATAATTGTTATTATTATTACTAATCCGCGATTGCAACCTTTAGTACGCAACTGTCAACCCAACTGATCACGTATTATGGTCAAACCATAACCAAAATTCGGGGTGTTACAGTCCAGACCGAATCGAGTCGTATATGGTTTGATCCGGACTGAATCGAAGTAATAACCATTCGACTTTGGTCCTTGATATAGAAGAAATTTTGGTCCGGTCCTAGGATAGTTTGATCCGGTCTTGGATCGAATCGATCGATGCCCACCCCTAGTTTCTGGTGTGCTTATGAAAATTTTGTGGTTTACTTTGTGGGATTTCTAGTATGCTTCATGGGATTTGTGGTCTACATTAAGAGGTTTTTTGTGTGCTCTAAAATATTTGTAGTATGATTTTGTGGTGTTTATTGTTCGCTTTAAGAGAGTTATGGTTTGAATTAAGAGATTTTTTGTATGCTTTATAAATAGTGTGGTCTGTTTTATGGTGTTTCTGTATGCTTAGCAAGATTTATAGTTTTCTTTCTCTAATTTCTGGATTGTTTTAATTTATAGTTTTCTTTCTCTAATTTCTGGATTGTTTTAAGATATTTGTAGTATGCTTTATAGTATTTCCAGTCTATTGTGCTAATCTCTTGTTTGTTTGTGGCACAATGTGCTCGCATTAGTAGTAAACGCATTCCACCTTTAACAACAATCATGAATGATAAACATTCATTTCATATATCACTAATCAAAGCCATCAATTCACAATTTATCAATAAAAGGGCTAAATAGGATACAGACGAAACAAGTAGTGCTTGTAAAGCTAATTGCATAGGAAGTTCTTTGAACTTCACTTCCCGGTACTTGTAAATTGCCTTTGTTTTGCCACAGGGGAGAATAACCAGGTGTCAGGTGGCTGCAATAAACCTGGAAAAGATTCAAAGAATTGAAACGAGTTTTGATTTGTGATCAAAGAGACATCACATATAATATGCACAGACTCCACTAAATGAAAGGACAGGTGGATATCTAACCTTCACTATCACATTTAGGAAAATTGCACCCTGAAGATTTCCAGCTTCTACTGCATTAATACCAACAACAGACAACATGATGATGATGATGATACAAGAGCCAAACGCCAAATTCCTCTTGACAAAATTCGCTAGCATGATCATCATCAAATCCGGCGCACATAAGCACCATCAACATCATCAAATCCATGGCTTCTCACATTCTTGTTCTTGCTGCAAAACCAACAGTCAAATCAACATCAACACCGGTGATCGCATTGTTGTTCCCACCATCCCCATCCTGGACGGAAGTTGAAAATAATCTCACATCAATCGGACTGAAGCTGCCAACTTCGGAGCATTTTGATTGAGATCAGGAAATAATTATAGATTTGATGAGAAGGAAAGCATAAAGTGGGGCAAACGTGCCGACCTATTGATGACGCCATGTTGTCAAATTGAATCTCCTTTCCCATCATCTTCGTGAAGCCTTTGAAGACCCTCTATTTCGACGATGGCGCCCGATCCTCCCTGTTCTCGTAGAACACCAGCTTGATTTTCTCCACCGCGTCGCTTTCCGTTCTGTCTTAACTGCTCCTATTCCCACCGGCGCCGCTGTTTATCTCGATCCCGACCTTCGATGATCCTCTGTTTCCTGCTCTGCCGCCACTGCTACAGTAGGAAACTAGGAACAACGCGATTACAAGAGATATAACACCGATCCCGAAAATTATCAGAGCCATCCCAACGATGCTCAATGCCAGGATATGAGCTCCTATAGCCAACGTCCTCTCGATTTACCGTCGGCGACACCAAAGCTAGGGAGAATGAGAAACCAGATCTGGCAAGCAGAGCGTGCAAGCAAGAATATGGGAAAAGATATTTTAATTTTGTTAGTTTTTTTTTTGTTGTTTTACGTTATTATGGGAAAAGAATATGGGAAAACTGATGTTACAATAACAACACGTTGGGTGTTGTTATAGTATTCTCTTCCATGGATCCGGGTTTTGTTGTTATCCCTATTTTCAGAGATTGAATGACGTCAAGGGAAAATACCTACCTCAACAGGGCTTCTTGACTTTGTATTATGTGACATATTAAGGATGACTGAAGAACCAAACAATCAGCCATTCCGTTGAACAGGCCAACCTCATGATTTGTAGGTTGACCAAATTACAGGAAACATGCATACATCAACAACCTTTTGCTACACCGGTTGACCCCTTTTGCATATAGGTCGACCACTTTCAAGTGAAAACAACCGTCCTGTTAGTTGTTCCAATCAACCATGATGTTATGCAGGTCGAGCGGTTTTGAAGAACATAATGTCCAATACCGTAGTTGAAATCTCAAAACTGTAACACCTCGACATTTGGGTTAGGTTCGACTGATAATCAATTTGGTATGGTTAATGTAATACCCACTATGAATTGGGAGTTTTATTTTAATTAATTTCTATTGATTAATCCTAGCTTAGGACTATAAATTTTAATTAAAAAAATAGTAAAACAATCCCCCAACCCGTCCTAAGAACCCCCTCCATAAAGCATATATATATATATATATATATATATATATATATATATGGGTGATTCTATCGTACCTTGGGTAAAATCAAGGGTACAACATACCTTGAGTAAAAAAATGATATTTAGACCTCGAATTGAGCATAGTTTGGCGTATGATATTATTCCCAAACCCTTAAGGATTAAAATCTAGGTCTTAGTTTTATAAATCTCATACACTAAGATCAATTTAATTAGAAACAAAAATCAACGGCTATGATTTGTCGAAATATATGCAACAAATTACAGGCACAATCTTAGGGATTAGGCTCTTTGATTTAGAAATCTAAGACCTAGGTTTCAATCATCAAGGGTTAGAGTATAGTATCATGTCCAAAAATCCGGTTAATTCGAGGTCTAGATAGCATTTTTTACTCATGGTATGTCGTACCCTAGATTTTACCCAAGGTACGATAGAAGCCACCATATATATATATATATATATATATATATATATATATATATATATATATATAGGGTGGCGTATTCGGTGCACCCACTTTTTCAGGTGTACTCAGTGCACCCGCCTCATAATTGTCATTCTGACCATGCGATTCATGTCAAAACGGTATCAATTGTTGCTTATGATATTATGAACAAGAAGCACATGAATTTTAAAAAAATTCATTCAAAATTTACTTTAATTTGATTGATTTAGGATTTAGGGATTTAGGGTTAGGGTTTAGGTTTACAATTTGGGATTTTGGGTTGGGATTCAAAATTGAAGGTTAAGGGGTTAGGGTAATGGATTGATTTGTTATGATTCTATGTTATATCATCATATTATATTGAGAGTACTAATTAAAGTTCAAATTTGATGTATTATGGGCGCTTTTAGAGTTGGGTGCACTGAGTGCACCCAAAAAAGTGAGTGCACCGAAGTAGCCACTATATATATATATATATATATATATATATATATATATATATATGGTTCAGGCTAGCGTACGTCCGGGTGTACGCTAGCCTAGCGTACGCCCCATTGAGTTTTGCTATATAGATCATGAATTAATCGGAGTTTGGGGCATGATACTATACCCTAACCTCTAATGGGTGAACCCCAGTCCCTAATTTTCTAACCCAAACCATGAGGTTCGTTTAATCTTAAAATGAAAACCAATGAAAAATTCGACGAATCAGAATCGTTGATTTTCATTTTTAAGATTAAACGAATCTCGTGCTTTGGGTTAGTGAATTGGGGACTGGGATTCACCCATTAGGGGTTAGGGTATAGTATCATGTCCCAAACTCCGATTAATTCTTTGTCTAAATAGCAAAACTCAATGGGGCGTACGGTAGGCTAGCGTACGCCCGGACGTACGATATATATATATATGGTGGCTACTTCGGTGCACCCACTTTTTTGAGTGCACTAAACGCACCCACCTTTTTGTTTAATCTCAACCGTTGAACACATCTAACAGTTACAATAATTTAATTTATTTATAATTCATTATTAACTAATCAACTATATTATATTTATTAAAACAATTTATACTTAATGACAATTGCAATCAAGTCCCTCACGTACTTAACCCTCCTGTTCGCCGTTTGTTTTTCCCTCTGGCACCGTCAATAGTTTCCCGGTGGCAGGCGACGATTAGTTTCCCGTGCCTGGCAACTGCCATCGTCGTCCTCCGCCACTAACCCATCTCAGGCGCTCGACATGGAATTGGAGAAGACAGATTTCTGTTCTTGATTCGGTCCCAGAAATCCTCAATTTTTGAGAGCTCATCCGAATGTGTTCGGAATTCAGATCGAAAACAGTCCTTCCTTCTTCAACCTCCTTCTGGTTCTATTCTTTTACCCGCAGCATAGGGGTCCAGCGATGTTTGATTTAATTTACTACAATCCGTAAAATTGACGCCTCAGTATCGCTCCAGTCTGAATCAAGCACTAAAAAAATCAGTTTCCCCCTTCGATTTCCAGTTATAGAGCTGAAGCCTTCCCCTGCGTCTCCGTCGCGGCAAAAGGAAAACAAAAAACACAGATCATTTGACTACTCAAGACTGGCTCTGTCCGAAAATCGCTCTGTAGTCCCTATGCAATCAATCGTCGCCGGCGATAGGACATGTGTTCGCGAAACCCAGAGGCACAGCAACTCAGCAACTCTTCGGTCGGAGCAATTGAAGACCTGGACTGGATCGACTGGATGAGCTGGATATAACCGAGAAGAATCACCGAGCGACGCGAGGAGCTGGACCTGACGGAGCTGTTATCTGAAGGGCGTAGACGATGCAAGCGACGGCTATAGGCGAAGAAATACTCCTGGTTCGCATCGACGGGAGCAGAGACGAGAGAAGCGGAGCTCGAAGAAAAGATGAGCCATCGCACCACAACTCAGTGCTGAAGCGCCGATTGAAGAAATTGGAGAAGGAAACACGAATTCGTCAAGGAAACGATCGAATCGAAGGAAAACAAAGGCGTATTCGTCGAGAACTCGAACGAATCGACCAAGAAAGCAGCGGAATCGAAAAAGAAAGTGGCGAGGCAAGAAGAGGAAAGGATCGACAACACTCGAACAATGGAAGAGAAAGTGACGGTTTCATGGAACAAATCAAGAACGAAAAGTTATTTTCTCTGATTCCAAGTGGCGGAGGACGACGATGCCAGGCACTGCAAACTATTCGTCGCCTGCAACTGGGATAGTATTGACGGTGGAAACGGCGAAGAGAAAGGGTTAATGTTAGGGGTTTAATTCAATTATCAATAACTATAAATTCTTTTAATAAATATAAAATAGTTTATTAGTTAATAATTAATTAAAAAATTATCAATTATTCTGAACCGCTAGATATATTGAACGGTGAGGATTAAACCAAAAAGTGAGTGCGTTCAGTGCACCCAAAAAAGTGAGTGCACCGAAGACGCCCCATATATATATACTCCCTCTAACCCCCGTGAACAGCAACAAATCCCCACCCACGTTCTATATCTCCCACAAGGAACCAACCAAAGAGCCGCCGCTAGTGAGAGATGAATCGAAAGATAGCTGCAGTGAAGGAGAACAGTAGTTGAAAAGAAAGGAAAAGGTTTCTGGACCGGTGGGAAGGGCAAGAAAGATCCAAGTTCCGCGAGGGGAGACCTAGAAGTCGTTTTGGAGTAGAAGTGAGCAAGACACTACCCGATTTTTAATGGATATTGGGCCGAGACAATGTTGACGAAAGGCAGCCCGCCCAACCCGAAGATACCTACAGCAGCCCATGTTTGCTGCGGAGCTACTCCGTTTACGTGTGATACTACGTATGCGTGTAGGAGTAGTAGTTCAACCCTAGTTGATTGTTGCATAGGGTATATATATTACTAGTTCTCATTGCCCGCGCTTCGCGCCGGGAAGGGTGTTCACCTAGATTTATAGATGTGTTGTCTGTTGGTTTAAAGGTAACAAAATGAAAATACTACATGATAACATAAACCAATATTATTAAGCTTTTCAAAAAAAAAAAAAAAATACAAATATTATCCAAAGCAACAATAAAAGGATGCTGGGGTTTTGTTTTTTCAATTTTAAAGTACGTGAGCAATCGAAACTTCACCATTTCCTTCTTTCTTTCCCTATAGAAATGTCTGCTGAGTTTTTACTAAAGGCGTAGAACAGAATAGTGTAT